CTTCATTGCTCAAATTGCATTAGAGATTGACTGATAGAGAGAAAATCGAAGCATTCATTGTTATTTGTACAGGGGACTGACTTACTTTGCTCATGAGCTAGTTGAGCGATAAGAGTTGGTTGAGAGTCCAGCTGGGATTGATGGTTCATATCTAGTTTGGGAGGATGTTTAATGGCCGGAGATTGACTTCCTAATTCCTAAGATCATGAAGAAGTTCCTTGGTTTATGTGATGGTACAAGTCTTCTAACATTTGTACCCCCCATTCTGGTTGAAGCGAGAGAGTTGCCACGAGTGAAGGTGTTGAATGCTTGGAGGTGGTAAATCCCCTAAGAAAAGGCCAAGTAACCAGCTAAGCAATCGTAAAAGTTATTGGTCGTCTGTGGAAGGCTAAGTAACTTTGAGAGCAACCTTAGAGGTTGCATGAAGGCGACGTAGCCTAAAGGTCGACTGTGGCGGATGACTTAAGGTGCAACTACAAAGGTTGGCTTAAGATGTAACCATATAGGTTGACATGAGATGCAACCATGAAAGTTGGCTTGAGGTGTAGCCAAGGAGGTTGGCTTAAAATGAAGGATCCTTGAGGTGCAACCAAGGAGGTTGGCTTAAGGTGGCAGAGTCTTGAGGTGCAACCACAGATAGAGGTGTTAATCGAGGTGAGCTTTTACGAGCTTGAGGTTGAGCCTAATGATCTTGTTTTTCTAAACGAGTCTAAAAAATTATTCAAGCTCAGTTCGTTTAGAGCTCGAGCTGAGCTTAAGTACCTCGACTATTTTACATATAAACGAGACGAACTTTGCGAGCTTGGGCCAAGTTTTTTAGACTTATTTTTTAAAACAACACTTAAAATTTATTCAAATTCATATTATTTAGAACACAAGTTGAGCTCATGCCGAGCCCAAGCCAAACTCGAGTAGCTTGTCTTGATTAATACCCCTAACAACAGAGGTTGACTTGAGGTGCAACCATAGAGGCTGCAATAACACAATTAGAGGAACACTTAGAGTTGTGAAAAAAAAAGCTTCTCTTTACTAATTAATGAGAATGAGAAACAAATATCTTTGAGGAATTTTTGAAATAATAAGACGTTGTTGACTAAAAAAAATAGTAAAACTTAGTTAGCTAGTTAGCTATCTGATTGGCTTTGTTGTTCTTCCTACTCCTTGGCAATTTTTTCCTTGTCAATGTAGTGAAAAAGGTGGTCTTACTTGACCTATTATTCTAGGTGGCGCTTGAGTGCCCAGTAATTCTCTGTCTTGTGGCTTTTATCCTTATGATAAGAACAATGGAGGTTTTAGTCCCAATTTAATGGATCTCCTATCATCTTAGGTGCCCACCTAAAATAATTCTTGTCTTTGATTTGGTTCAGGACTTGATAGATAGGCTTCTTGAAAAAAATGTTGGCTTCTTGGTAGTAGTCTCTCGTTCCCTTGAATGACACATCTCTCCTTGATGGGAAAGTGTCGTTTTTCTCCATCTGGTTCATCTTTGGTAGCAGATTGACTTGTCCCTTGTCATCCTTTGCCTTCACGTACCTCTTGATATGCTCATACAAGTGTGACATACTCTTGGGTGGCCACATGGTGAGGTGCTTCCTCAATTTAATTTCTTTTGGGAGGCCCAAACGGAAAGAAAACAATGGTCTTCTCATCACATTCTTCTATGTTGATATAGGTTTTCAAGTACCTTGTGGCATACTCACAAAGAGTCTCTCCATGGTGTCAATCGTCATCGGTTCGCAACTATTGGCAATGAATCAAGAGACAAACTCCCAGCAGGCTATTCCCAAGAGAAGACCGAGTTCACGAGCATCCCATAAAACCACTTAAAAGTCGATCTCCCCAAGATGGAGGACACATCGATGACTCGTTGCTCATCCAGAAGATCATCTTATTAGTAAAGACCCTTATGTGGAGCACGGGATCCGACTTACCATCATACAACTCGAAGGATGAAGGAGTAAACTCGAGTGGAGACTCGACTTCTCATATGGACTGAGCGAAAAGAGTAGTGGTTATTTTTACAAGGGTCTGCCTTGCCATCTCCTTTGCTGAATACACGAGATCATCTTGGCCAATGTCACGATAAAAATGTCGTGACCTTCACGGGTTGGCTCTAAGTGGGTATGCTTCTGTCTTCCATAATCATCATACCGCTCGTCTTAGCTAGAGTGGACAGTTGAACTTCCATGTCTTTCCCTACGTTCCTTAAGGTGACATTCCCTGTATGGCTTGCCTCCCTTCTCCTCATAACAAGGTGGGTACCTTCTGGGTGAAGGGTCCGTAGGAAAGCATTGAGAAGTAGAGTGTCTCGATGAGTACCTTCCTAAACAGTGACCATGGGTCGAATAGCTCTTTGCCAAAGACCTGTTCTTACGACGTGTAGATTGAGCCTTGTGAGAGTGATTGTTGTGGTGGTTACTTTGATGAAGCAAATGTTGAACCTAACTAGCTAGTTTGTTGCCCATTTGGTGAAGAAGCCATTGATTGAAGGCTTCTAACTCCTCCATCTTCTTCTTTAATGCTTTCTGGTAGGCCACCTTGGTGGCTAGTTCGCCTTCTGTGTCAAGGGTTGATAGATTATGACGAAGAGGGTGTTGTTCTTCTGGGCACTTCTGCTCATCTAGGAGCATTGTTTGGTTGAGCTCTTGGGGGTCATAGTTTGAGGGGTTTTCAGGGATTGGAGATAGCTTAAGAGCCATGCAGCTAGTCGTTGTGTCGTTGGTTCTATCGCCATACATGGTTCAATGCTTCTAGGTTGTCGGAAAACTTAGTTGCTTTCCACAGATGGCACCAATTGTGCAGGAATAAATCCACACAAAGAGTAACCATCTTGTGCAAACTGAAAGAGTGGTGAGTAATTCTTAGATAACCTTTAAGATAAGAGAACACCAGAGTGAACCAATGGCTGGAGGCGGCCAAAGGAACTCTGATACTTAAGTTAAATCACGAGTCAAAAAAAAAAGAATAGAGTGTATAGGTTAGGATTGAATTGCATTACCTGGTACCCGGGCCTTTATTTATAATGTTAGGGAGATGTGTCCAAAATGAACTTGAACTCTTGATTGATTGGCTCAACCTCGTCACTAAGTTCTATAATTGCGAGGTGGAGTTTGATTAGGACCTTGGATTCTTACCCCTTATCACCAGCTCCTAAATATTTGAAGTGATATTAGATTAGGACACGAGTTCCTAGGTTGATCCTTCACTGAGTATGACTCATCTTTAGTTACCTTAGGTGCCAAGCACAGAAGAGCGAGGACTTACCCAAGTCACTTGCCAGCTAGAAGTGGCCATGGGAACCACTTGCCAATTGGCAGTGGCTAGCCAAGCCACTTGCCGACTGGGCCTTGGTCTTCACAAGTCAATTGGCATGAGCCACCTCCTCCAATTGCCAAGTGCCATGAGCAAGACTTGAATTGCCCAGTGACATGAGCCATTTTCTTCAATTACCGAGTGGCATGAGCCACTGTCATCTTCACATGCCCACTGGCATGAGTGCCCAAAGCACTTTAATCCACATAGTTTCCGTGTGCAATACACATCCGATGACAAAGTTGGGCTTTTTTGTATATATATTCTCAATAAATTATTGTGACTTTTGATCTCATCCGAATTTTTTTTTTGAAAAGGCCAATTTTTGAGTCTAATAAATTGGTATTGTGGCAATTTCTCATTGATTTGCATCTCACCTCAACTCTATCGCATGCTGTGTTATACACATCCAAAAATTCTTCCTAAGCTATTTGGACGGCGCCATTAGCGACACAAAAAACGCGCTATCTAACCCACATTATTTCTTTAATTATTAAAGTAACCTGTCAACTTCTTTAGCTTCAATAAGGTTATCATCCATTTCTTTTTATTCTTTTTGGGCCACACAGAAGCATAGAGGGTGGGAGCATCAAAAGTTCATGCTCTAATGGAATTGAGAGTCAACATTTACCAATACACTTCAATTCGTTTAGTACTACATCACCATTCATATATTAATCGGGATTCTTTTTAGATATATTGAATCTTTTTTGAATTCATGATTGATGATACATCTACATCATCTTGGATGAAAATCAAATAACTATGCACCCATAGGGGCCATGGACTTGGACCCTTTCCAACACCATAAAACTAAGAAATAGAACGAGACATGAAACAAGAGGTGGATATTGTTTGATAACACTTTATTTAGGTTTTTTTTTCCCCTTTCTTTTTGCCCTTTTTCCTTGTTGAAGTATTTTTTAAGTCGCATTTGTTTTGTATATATGATTTTTTATTTTTCTTTGTCCGAATTTGTTATTTTCCTCCAAACTTAATCTCGCATATAATGCACGTATATAAGCATACTATTGTTTAAGTTCATATAGAAAACTTCACAGAATAGTCATTAGTCCATGCCGGGCAGATTAGATTTCAATATTAGCATGCTGTTACTTTTTCCATTTCTCTCATATTCTAAAAAGCGCCATAAAAAATTGTGACATTCATACAGTAAACTCTTAACCCACTACTTAAATCCCATGACTTGAATAAGCGAAGCAACTTAATCTGATATAAGGTGCCGACACCCACCCTAGACATTGATGGTGACAGTAAGGGTAATTGTCTGCTTGAGTAAGCAGTGGTGAGAATCCAATGGCCAAAAGCCTAAGGGTTCCTCAATAAGGTTTGTTCATGCCAGGTAAGTCATGGCCTAAGATCAGGCCAAAAGCCGATAATGACAAATTAACTAATAAGTAGGGGCCATGAGAAGGACATAATCCAGAGAGCAAGTTACCAGAAATTTTTATGTACCCGAGACTGATAGAGTTGAAAATACAATTTTATTTGCTCATCTAAAAGCCTGAAGCGGACCTCAAATCCACTTGAAACGAACATGTGAGTGTGTATGAAAATGTTATTATCTACAAGTAACAAATTGGCATCGGTATGTACAGTGTAAGACGAAGAAATAGTATCTACAATGGATGCTTGAGAATGCTAATAGGATTTAAGGATTTGCTTCATCAAGCACGATGTGAAGCAGCTCTATTCAGCCTCTCAAGGATGCTATTTGCCTTCCTCCTGGCCCTCGAAGTCCCAGATTCTGCAAGCATGGAGATAGTTGCACTGGCATCTTCCTCTTCCTTGATCTCCCTCAATTTGGTTTGATCACGAGAACTTATTGTGTAAAGGATTGCAATACAATGCTCTTTGGCACGTTCACTGGTGTTGTCCCTTACAATACTAAGCAAGCAAGGTACTGCACAAAGCTCCCCCATCTCCTCAACAGCCTTTTCATGTCTGGAGAGTAAGGCAAGAATAGCCAACAACTCATCAACGAGTATACCATCCATGATCTTCGTCAAAACAACCTTGACTGCCCCCTCATGCACTGCCCTTGCATTATTCTCAGGGACAATGCATAGGTTGAAAATTGCTGAAGCAGCATCCTTCATGGCTAACAAATGCCCTTCTTCCAAGAGGTTTACCAAAAGTTTGAGAGCACCCGCCTCTCCAAATATTTGTTTGTTGGAATCAAGGTCTGAGAATGCGAAAATAGCTGCTGCAGCATGGCTTCTTGTGTTTATGTTACCGTATTTCAAGGATTCAAGAAGTATAGGGATGGCAACTGGATTATCTGTGACCAACTTCTTATTGTTGTCGTGTACTGAGACATGCAAGACTGTAGTGATCAAATCCTCTTGTAAATCAGGATGGGTATTAGCCCACCCAGGTGACAGCGGCTTGAGCAATCGGAAAAGGGCATTGTCAGTTTGTCCAAAAATAGCCCGGAAATGTGGCATACGTTTGGTCAGCAGCCTTAGCTCTTTTGCAGCCTCTTTCTGATCAGAAAGAGAAGAGGATAATTTCTCAAGCAATGAATTCAAACGGCCTCGCTCTGCATCTGTGATTACTTCCTCATCAGGATCCGGGACAGGGTTTGGGAGCTCCATGCCATTCTTCTTGCACCATTGTGAAATCATATCCCGTACCAAGAGATTAGGGGTAAGCATCGTGTAGGACAGGATTTCTTGGGTTTGGGGGCATGTTCTCTCACCATCTTTCAACCAGTTTTCAATGCATAGACGATCATATGTCTACGAAAACAAACATCCTTCAGCAATTACAATCAACCATAATTCTATGAAAAGGTAAATTCATAAACAGATTTACAGACTGTAAAACAAGGTTTTTTTTTTTTTGAAAAATAGAGAGCACGGAAAAAGAAAGGGGTGCGATGAGAGGATAAATGGGACATTTAAGCATGTGTTTATGATAGAGGATAATGAGATTTAAGTACTGTTTCTGCATCAATTTTTCAGTTTCATTTCTGTGTCACTAAAATGACAGGACAATGATCAAATTATCCAAAGCAAACAAGAGTTGCCAAAACTTTTAATCATTGCACGCCACGACTTAGACTACATAGTGAAAAACCTGAAACTAACATATCAATACCAACATCATAATCTTAACCCTCACAATCCATTCCCCAAACACCACCTTGCTTTCTATGGTCATAATTTCTTGACTAGGGTTCTTTCCAATGCTAAATTCTGTCAGTTTCTTTAACTCTAAATTGCCTATGTGAATTTAAAGAAGAGCCGTTTAATTCAGTTGGTCCTCAATATATACTCGGTGACTTATCTAAAATTCAAGAATTGAGCCATCCTAATATTAGAATTCAAGAATTGAGCCACCCAAATAATAAAATTAAAGAATTGAGCCACCAAAAAAAATTGCCAGTCAAATCCTAAAGAGAACCTAATCAAGAATTTCCACTGAAAAAATCATCTACAGTTCAGGGAAGTTCAACCAGAAGGTGAAAGCATGTCCAACACGTTAAACACACACAGAGACAGAGGGAGAGAATGAGAGAGAGAGATCATAATCAAGAATTTCCGAGCGCACACACAAACACACAGAATGACTTCTCTAAAATTCAAGAGTTGAGCCACCCTGATACCACATTCCGAAAACAAAAAAAAAAAAAAAAAAAAAAAAAGCCACTCGAATCCTAAAAAGATCCTAATCAAGAATTTCCGCGGGAAAAATCATCTACCAGGAAGCTCAACCATATGGTAAAATTATCTACCAAGAAGTTCAACCATATGGTGAAAGCATTCCCAACAAATGACACATTAAAAACACACACACGCACAGAGAGAGACCCAAGAACAGAAGAGTGATTAATACCTGACCGGTGGCCAAGACAACAGGGTCTTTCATGAGCGTTTTCGAAAGAGGGCAATTAAATTCATCAGGAAGAGTTGAACTGTCGAGTCCCAAAGATAGAGAGCTCTTCCAAATCAATTTCTTGATAGAATACAAGGTCTTCATGGCCTGATCGGTGGTCTCTTCGCTGTAATTATCGTCATCAACTATAGCTTTCACAAGTCTCTGCAATTCTCTCTTCAACGCCGCAGTTGCCTTTGCCACACCCATTGCTTTTACTGCTGTTTTCGCCACTGAAGACGAGACCAACAGAAACAGAACTTGAAAAAAAACAAGAAGATTGAATAAGGACAGAGAAGAAGAAAGTTTTAGTACGTCTTGTTCATATTTTTGTGTCTCTCCCTNACAGAACTTGAAAAAAAACAAGAAGATTGAATGAGGACAGAGAAGAAGAAAGTTTTAGTACGTCTTGTTCATATTTTTGTGTCTCTCCCTTGGATTTTCCTCTGAACTTTTCCCGTAGAAAACACAAGAATACTTATAACGAAATGTGAAATTATTGGGTCATATATGCTTGGGAATAAATTGCAGACAATTCCCTTATAATTTTCGGAATTACACTGCACCTCCTACAGACTGAGTCTCTGATTATGGAACTACCGGAGTCACAAAATTATTCAACTTTACCCTTAGTGATTATTCAACTTTCCAACTTTACTTTCTTTTATTTATAATTCCATTGTATAAGGTCGCCCACTTATCTCCTCCTATGATTGACCGAGAGTAGCTTAGTTGTTACAATCATAGNTCCTATAGACTGAGTCTCTGATTATGGAACTACCGGAGTCACAAAATTATTCAACTTTACCCTTAGTGATTATTCAACTTTCCAACTTTACTTTCTTTTATTTATAATTCCATTGTATAAGGTCGCCCACTTATCTCCTCCTATGATTGACCGAGAGTAGCTTAGTTGTTACAATCATAGGACCTCAACCCAACAAACCGTAGAGTTATTAGTTGGACCAATCATATAATAAAAAGGTTATATAAATAATTAATATGTAAAAACTGTTATGCATATAGTCTATTGTGCCATGAGACCAAAAGCAAGAGAAACTCAAAACCATAAGACTTCTCTTCTGGGTGTTAACAGAGATGACAAACAAAAAAGTGAAAATTGGAGGCGAGTCTTTGTATAGATTTATAATGACTTGAGTCCGGGAATGAAACTTATTTGGGATTAAGTCTGTGATTAAACTTATATGTAGGTGCTTAAATCCACTTTTTTTTTTTAAATCTCAAAATTACTCCTAATGGTGTTAGTTTTATCCAGTTATAGAAAGTCATATAGGTTATATCATTGAAATATATATAAAAACCGTTGATTAAGTTATATATGAAAACTGTTAATTGAGTTATATATGAAAATCATTTATTAAATATTCTNTGACAAACAAAAAAGTGAAAATTGGAGGTGAGTCTTTGTAGATAGATTTATAATGACTTGAGTCCGGAAATGAAACTTATTTGGGGTTAAGTCTGTGATTAAACTTATATGTAGGTGCTTAAATCCACTTTTTTTTTTTTAAATTTCAAAATTACTACTAATGGTGTTAGTTTTATCCAGTTATAGAAAGTCATATAGGTTATATCATTGAAATATATATAAAAATCATTGATTGAGTTATATATGAAAACTGTTAATTGAGTTATATATGAAAATCATTTATTAAATATTCTAATAATTAACGGAAGTTTTATATGGAATGTATATATTCTGATAGTTATATATGGAAGTTTGATGTACGAATAAATCATTGACATATTAAGTGAAATTCAGATCACAAGGTTTCCTTAACAATTCAAATTCAATATTAACATGATACAAACATAAAGTAACATGATATAGTAACATGATACAAGCATAGGATGACACTGTAGCATGATATTATATTATCAATATCTTAACCAGCATATAGTAATATAATACAAAATTACCAAGCGTAATGGATATAAAACAATTATATGCAAAAGTAAAATGAACAGTGCCACCCAATTAGTTGATGTAAACATAGTAACATCAGCTTAGTAACAAAGTCTAAAAAAGTANCACAAAATTACCAAGCGTAATGGATATAAAACAATTATAAAAAATTATATGCAAAAGTAAAATGAACAGTGCCAACCAATTAGTTGATGTAAACATAGTAACATCAGCTTAGTAACAAAGTCTAAAAAAGTAGTTAATTTGTGAAAGATTCATGGGAGATGTTTGTGGGGATTTATGAAGTACGGATACGGATACGGGATATGTGTATGATACGATATGAATACGGTGATACGATAAAGTCTAAAAAAGTAGAATACGAGTACGGCCAAGATATGACTATAATAAAATATAGTTAATATTTTTATTNCTATGAAGCACGGATACGGATACGGGATATGTGTATGATACGATACGGATACGGTGATACGACAAAGTCTAAAAAAATAGAATACGAGTACGGCCAAGATATGACTATAATAAAATATAGTTAATATTTTTATTATTTTCATCCAACTTAATACTTATATATTTTGCTAGTTCTTTAATATACAATAAAAAAAATTAGTAATTTTTTTTAGTTTCAAGAAAATATATATTGTATCGTTGTAGTATATTCACAAAGTGAAGTGACTAATTAAAAGAATCAAAACTAATATTTACCNTTAGTAATTTTTTTTAGTTTCAAGAAAATATATATTATATCAATGTAGTATATTCACAAAGTGAAGTGACTAATTAAAGGAATCAAAACTAATATTTACCTAGTATTTAGAAATAATTTTTCCTAAGATAATAATGTAATAACTTTATTTTATACTNTGAAATAATTTTTCCGAAGATAATAATGTAATAACTTTCTTTTATACTCTTTTGACATGTAATTGTAGATAATACTTAAGAAACATTCATGCGCCTTTGAAGTAATATAATTTTTTTGTTAATGTATGGTATGATATGTGAATTCGAAANTTCATGTGCCTTTGAAGTAATATAATTTTTTTGTTAATGTATGGTATGATATGTGAATTCGAAAAAAGATGTTAAAAGTTCAATTCAAAAATTATATATGTTGTTTGTTCATTTTTTGTAAGAGAAAAGTGCATGATGATGGCTCAAAAACTTGACACCTGCATTTTTGTACCAATGCTTTAATTGAATAAGCAAACAGTGAGCACAGGCCTACTCCAACCAAANCTTGTTCATTTTTTTTTAAGAGAAAAGTGCATGATGATGGCTCCAATACTTGACACCTGCATTTTTGTACCAATGCTTTAATTGAATAAGCAAACAGTGAGCACAGGCCTACTCCAACCAAATAGAACTAAAACAAAGGCTTCAAAATACTGCTCATTTTCATTTTTAGAAGTTGCATACATAACTCACCTATGTACTACTTGACACCTATAGTTTTGTACCACGTCTTTAAATTAAATAACCAAAGAAGGAAGCAACTCAAAACAGTAACCATAGCCCATACTTCAACCAAATAGAACTAAAATTACTCCAATGAAATGGATCTAGAAATGTTGAGGTGGGACATGTGTATATAAACTTCAAAAGTTAGAACACCAAGTTATATGGACAAGAAATTTTTACAGCCAAAACAAGAAAATAAGAACTTACCAAGAAACAAAACATGGTATTTCTACTGATCTGTCCATGTAGATATATAGTACAAAGTCCTAAGACATAGTATTTGCTAGACACACTTTACATATTTTGGTCAGCGACAACTTGAAATCTTTTTTCTCTTTACAAAAGTCACCAACTATAGTATAAGGTCCATACTTATCCAAGTTTGAACACAAAAAGGCTAGATTGCCAGCATATAGCATCCAAAATACATATATAGTAGTAAGTAGGTATCATGTCTCAAAAACAATGTAGACCACTCTTTCAAAGTTCTTCAAGAGTTGTTTAATTCAGTCATCAATTTGCTCAAAGCTCCAAACGAAGGTTTGATGGGATAGCAAAAAATGCTCTGACGTTTGCCTGACTCTTAATAAAGAATAGAAATGCATCCAANATCACCAATTTGCTCAAAGCTTCAAACGAAGGTTTGATGGGATAGCAAAAAATGCTCTGACGTTTGCCTGACTCTTAATNGCTCCAAACGAAGGTTTGATGGGATAGCAAAAAATGCTCTGACGTTTGCCTGACTCTTAATAAAGAATAGAAATGCATCCAATTGAAGTGATCCTGGAACTCCAATATTTTGTAATTCAGCAAATAATTCCTCCTTGGTGCAACAACATGGCCTAGCTCTCTCTACAACAACTATTCCTTTCTCTGCAATGGCATATCCCTCCTTGATTGCTTGCGCCACATTATTAATTCCAATATTGATGCTTTCAATATGCCTATTCATCACATCTAACATACTTGTCTTTCGTTTGGAATTTTTCAAGGATGAAGTTGTTTGTGAGATAGCTTGGAAAGGTGTAGAAACAGGAGAAATTGGCTCAAAGTTCAAGCTAAATTCATCCACTTCATCATTAAGATCTATTAGATTATCATTTTTCTCCCTTTCCCATTGACGGACTTTTTCTCTTGTGCTCANCTTTTCAAGGATGAAGTTGTTTGTGAGATAGCTTGAAAAGGTGTAGAAACAGGAGAAATTGGCTCAAAGTTCAAGCTAAATTCATCCACTTCATCATTAAGATCTATTAGATTATCATTTTTCTCCCTTTCCCATTGACGGACTTTTTCTCTTGTGCTCACAGTCCCTTCCCCTATAGCTCTATCCTTTGCAAAGAGATCATATAACTTGTCAGTGACAAATCTTATTATGCCTCCATCTTGCAGCACTTGGGTTTGCCTATGACAAAACCAAATGCGTATATGTAAAAAAAAAGATATGTAGAANGGACTTTTTCTCTTGTGCTCACAGCCCCTTCCCCTATAGCTCTATCCTTTGCAAAGAGATCATATAACTTGTCAGTGACAAATCTTATTATGCCTCCATCTTGTAGCACTTGGGTTTGCCTATGACAAAACCAAATGCGTATATGTAAAAAAAAAGATATGTAGAAATATATGCAGCCGCAACCATATTACAACTAGCACAAGGTTGTTAATATTAACTGTATCACTTCATTCTTGGCTTCCCATAGTTGTGTCTCTAGATTCCATGCAAATCCGCTCATAGTTAAGCCATTGAAAATTTCATGACATGCAAAAAAATAACTTTTGAGAGTTTTCATTTGATTTTTCACAT